CTGATTTAGAGAATTTCCTCATTAATTATGCAAATTACATTCATATTTGCATAATTGTAATCTCATTATGTCAAGCATCACTTAAGCTACCTACATACCAAAATTCACGATGATCCATCAATCGGTTCTTGAGTTATCCTCTTTTAAACATTTGTCCTTTAAACCCCCCTGCAGTTCTAGAGCAAGCAACTAGGGGGCTCAAACTCATGTCACTTTATTCGCAGCACAAGAGCTATCTACCATCCAAATTTGGTTACCCTAGCTTGTCTGTATCATGAGATATCAAAACCGGAAGTTCTGCTGCAGTACCATGACAAGCCGCCAGGGGGCCCAAAATCTAATCATTTTGAGGTCTCATCAAGACCTACCCAACTATTAAATATCAAGTCAGTCCATTTAAGCCTTCTCAAGTTATCGTGTTTACACACACACACACATACACACACACACATACACGAACGCCTCTGAAAACATAACCTTCTTGGCGAAGGTAATTATATGTGGTTGCAATGATTGAATTAAAAAGTTAACCTGTCTGTCCACAGTACCTTTTCTATAGCTGCTATACAACCTAAACTAACCTAAGCCTAAACAGACATCTCTCATTGTGCTTATATCTACATATCTTATTTCATGTACTGTTTAGTTATACTGTCTACTGTCTAGAAACTTAAAACTAGAATGCTACTCGACTTCCAAAAATTGTCTTCACTTACAGTTTTACACATTTTGTTAGCCAGTGTTCTCACTATGAGACTGACAGATTATTTCAGACAGTTACCACAATTTCTGCATCCTTTCATCATTTAGAAGATTATCAAAAGACTTGTTTACAGTAACATTCTACTAAGATCACAAAACCCACTTTATGCAGAATGTCCGGGGACTTCTGCCTTCAAAGAAGAAGTCAAACCTGAGACATAAATAGCTTAGCGTAGTAGTAGAAGTAGAAGTTTTTCCAGATAGTAGTTGTCTGTCTCCTATTATTGTATTGTACCGAATAGTTATCTTTGACTGTAAAGCCTTATACAATTTTGCAAATAAAGAAATTATTGTAGACCTACATTTCTCCGGCGTTCTCTTAGAGTTACTGACGAAAGGTAGTGTAGGTTACCTGAAATGTCTGACCGTTTCCAAAACCATATCCAGTAATGATTGAGTAACTGTTTTTGGCAATTTATTTTATTACCTGGCATGTCTAACCTTGAAGTTCACCGACTTATAAGTTAGAATGCTCACAAAACTTTAACTTTAAGATTTTTTTTTTCGCTGATTCCATAACTCAATTCCTTTCAAACATCACACACAGCTTTACAGTACTAGGTAACATATCACAGCTCTACAGAAAGAAAGCACTGAGCATTGCCTGTTCCCTCTTCTTAAGTAAAGAAATAGGACATACTTCCAACAATCATTATGTGACCAAAGCACTTAATTTCAGGGAAATCACAAAAATGCTTTTGAAAACGTATCCCATTACTATATAGAATGAAACAAAAGACGGTATTTGAAGTGCTTTCCTTAGTAGGAAAATGTACTAGAACTGTGTTCTACACCATAAATGCATACAAATATTAGTCACAACCTTAAACTAGATATTAGTAAAAAATGTGAACTCTTTCAATTAAAAATGACAATGATTAGTTGAGAGGGCCAGTTTGGATAATCAGGTGTTTGGAACTAAAATTCAGAGGATCGCAGAAATACTCTACTCCAACATATTTCATTGTCATTTTTAGGGGTCTGCATGGGAGGTCCCGATTACGACTAAAAGCAGCGGCCACGAGTTATAATTCTTTATTCATGCTTAACACATAGATTTACTTCGAATTATGCAAAATTCAAATGGCAAGGTGCAAAAGTATGCAAAGCAGCGACCCGGCATTACGCTTTATTCATGCAGGCCTAACACTTTACCCATAACGGTTACCTTCAACATTAAGCCATAACGACCTGACTTCACATTATGCAAATCTAATACATTGTGTGCTTAGTACACATTGCAGCATGCAGACCCCTTTTTTGAAAGAGTTCTAACTAAAAAAAAAAGCAAACTCACGGTCAAGGTCTGATGTTCTCTTGTCTCGTAGATAGGTGACAGGTCCTTCAGGAACACACACAGGAATAGGACAGGTACGCAGGATAGCTAAAAATCCTCCAAGAATTAATAACAGACAGGAACACAGACGGGTCCCACAGCACACACAGGAACATGGTCAGGTACAGCCTCGGCTCCCCATAAGCTCCAGGGTGTAAAAGAAATAAACATTCAGAAAAATCTCATGCCAAATTTACATACACATAGGATACAACAACGTTTACAATATTCAAATACATGTATGCACGACATCATAATATTCACAACATTTCGTTGTTTCAAAACCTACTTTGGTTGAAGGAAGTGCACAAGAAACATTGTTAGTGAGGCAAAAGAAGGGCACAGCCAAAAGAGAACATAGAATATTCTGACTAAACAACAATCACAAGAAAAAACATCTCACACATCATAAATATTTCATGTACGTAAGATATCACAATAAATTTGTTCTGTAAAATCTGTATTGGTTGGGAAAAGAACACATGGAACATTTTTAATGTCAGTCAAAAGAAGAGAACAGACATGTAGAATATCATAACCAAACAACAATCACACTTGATATTACATAAGATATATCACAATACAAATAACAACATGATATGCATCTCATGATATTGACATTCATCAAATTACAACTGGGTACAAAAACATTAGAGTCAACAACACATGACTCATTTCAAATATCAGTTCATGAAAATTGACAAGCAGATTAAGCTCACATGCCATTATAATTTAAGGCAAAAGCGCCCCCATCGGTTACTTAACTAAGTGCAGCGTTAACTCGTGGGGATAATTGCCGAAACTTATTATCGAAATTCTGTCTTTTTGCTTCATTTAACATAAAGGAGATTTTTATACTATAGTCCGGATAGTATCTACGACAATTTCAAGTACAACTTACCACCAAAGCGGACATGGCGCGTCTTCCTGGGTGGAAGTTTTACCCGCTCGTTCTTTCCTTACATGCACGCTCGCCATCTTGAAAAGAGGTGTTTCACGCACATGTGCCACCTGTAAATCATGAGCAAAATTTGCATTCGATAATCAATCTAACATAAGATAAATGACAGGCCAATAGGAAACCACCACACATACAGGCCAGAAAAATACGATGACTTAATTATGGCTTTCATCTCACAAATTCGAAAATTTTCTGGCGTCATCATTCAACTTTATAAATTTAGGAGAATCGCAATCAAAAGATAAATGGGTCCAACAAATATCATTTATTGGAAAATTACTAACACGTTAGTAATTTTCCAATAAATGATATTTGTTGGACCCATTTATCTTTTGATTGCGATTAGAATATTTTCTAGCTAGTAGGTGACAACTTACAAACATTAGTACTATTGCGATATATGCCTCTAGGAATACGTTTATAACTAGAAAGGCCGACATTTGCTTGGGAGCAAATGCAGCAGATGGCTTCACCACATCCCCCATACCGAAAATGGATCTATCCCACGATGGCTGCCAATAGTCTATACCCCCATGCAGCAATGGAATCTTCCAATGCCGGAAATAGCCAAAAAGCCCTATTTTACATAATTTTAAAGTTGTGTATGTCAAAAGCGTGAATGACATTCTTTGGACATGTGTCCAAGGTATCCCCATACCGAATTTCAGGTCATTCGGATTTAATATTAGGGCACAGGAGCCAAAAATGTACATTTTTGGTCCGAAAATAGCCAAAAAGCCTTATTTTTTCCAATTTTAAAGTGGTATATGTCAAAAGCGTGAAAGACATTCTTTGGACATGTGTCCAAGGTATCCCCATACCGAATTTCAGGTCATTCGGATTTAATATTAGGGCACAGGAGCCAAAAATGTACATTTTTGGTCAAAAAATAGCCAAAAAGCCCTATTTTTCACAATTTTAAAGTGGTGTATGTCGAAAGCTTGAATTAGGTTTTGCAGACATATGTCCAACGTATCACCATACCAAATTTCAGGTCATTTGGTTTTAGTACCAGGGCTCCAGATCCCAAAATGTATATTTTTTGCCTGAAAATGGCCAAAAAACCCAAATAAAACAATTTTTCAAAAAAATAAAAAAACTGCATCGGGGTATTGGCCCACTCTACGTCCATGCCAAATTTCAGGTCATTTGGCTAAAAAACGGCTGAGTTGAATCCCTTTAAAGAAATGGCAGGAGGAGAAGAAGGAGAAACATGAGGGAACACAATATGTCTTCACCACTTTGTGGTGAAGCCATAATGACTCGGCACAACAAGGGTAAATTTCACGCCACATACGTGTGGAATATTACTTCGATCTTTGAGTGTTCATTTCTCTTTATCGACGATTATTAAACTATAGATATCAAACATTAGTCTCAACTGGTTTTGGATCAACCATAATATCACAAAGGTATATTATATTCGTATCATAATGGTAGCATTACATATATATGAAAGAATATAACCGAAACGCCCGCAATTTGTGACTAAAAGGACGCTTCTGGCGAAGCAAGTCTTAGATTTTCATGTTTAAGATACAGACGCACTAGCTGGAAAGTTGGCGTATGTTTACTAACACTAAGGCATAATATTAGTCTACTTCAGCAATCACTGATTTGTTGACATCCTCTGTGATTTAAAGATTACGGTCGTTTTATCTAGATAATTGACCCTTTGTTGACCTGGGTCAGCCATAGCAATACTTTTCCCATTGTTTTACATGTAGACCACGTTGACGTCAGTTCCACATATCACCGGACATGGACACCGAAGTTATGCCCCCCTGAGAGTACAACTTGTTTGGGTAATAAAGTTTGTAGTCCACGTAAAAACTTTTTATGCCATCCTTAAATTAGGGTTTTGAAAATTAATAAGACGTGTTTTCTTTTGAAAGTCTTCTGTATTTTTTGTCACTCACGACGGCCTAAAATTTGACAAATTGAATTTGACCATACACAGTAAAATATGCAGAGTTTTGGACTCATATATCCACTGTATTCGTAGTGCGAATCGTAGTCTTTCAATTTACCAAATATCACACTGTAAAGCTAGAAACAAAGACAGGAAAAATGTTCACGTCACACGGCTTTATCTAACGTGGGTGGCATATGCGATGGACCCTCTCTGGCCAATGGATACTGCCTGGCCAATTTGATACTGTTTTTGCCACCCTAGTATCTGCTTGGAGATTATTGTCGTCATACTTACCTACCCATCAGGCATCGTAAACCTTATAAACGTCACAATACGTCACTACGGTCTCTTTTCGACCCTTATTTCTGACGTCATAATCCTATTTACAGCTGTGAAAGTTTGAGATGAGTTTGAGTGGCCAGGCACGTTCTGCGTCCCTCAACCTTGTCAGGTATTTCACAGTCGCGAAAGTCGACGTCATTTGATGACACGATGTTCAGTTTTCTCTTGATCAACGCTGTCTTCCTGCTACAGGTTGTAGCCAGACTCTTCGGCGTTCTGAAGAGAGGTGAGTGCAAGTTTATTTCCAAACATCTCAGACCAGTTTTGGTCACCTAAGACAAGTTCTGTAGCCATGTTCTAAGAACGGCCCATAGTATACTAGCCTCTATCAGGCTTCAGAAGCGGCTGGAAAGAGTAGAAAATCGACCAAATACATGTAGACAGATGACATGCTGGGGGGTCGGTCTGTTAAGTAGTACGTACTACATCATGTTGCCGCATCATTTACTAGTAGTGGACCTTAGAGGCTAGGTCCACATCCACCACGCTGTAACAGAGGATGTACCAAGATACATATCGTCTTCATCGTCTTCAAAACAAAAGATAAAACCAAGGATCATTGATAACATAACGTATATCATATAACGACGATATTGAAGAGTAAAGGGTAGACGTCGACTTGCTTATGGTTATAAAAAAAGCTGACGTTGACGATTACTAATAAAAACAATGGACCACGTTCGCCTCAGTCTTAAAACGTCACAAAGTCAAGATCGAATGTCAAATGTCCTTGGATACTTTCTTGTGACGTCATAATTGTCCTTGCAGTAGTCGAAAATTCCGACATCAGGTCAGACGTGTTTGTTTGATCGCTCTGATTCGGCTCTTATTTCCTACTGTAAAATTGACATTAGTCCAGACGACATGTTTGGGATTTTGCTGCAGTTCAATCTGTTGCTTTTCCGACTGGTAGTCAGGATTGTAGGCTCCGTCAGAAAAGGTGAGAGCGGTGTTCCTTCACCAAAAAACAGTTACTTAAGCAACTGTAACGTTATGTGATTTTGGAAACGGTCAGACGTTCCTGGTAGCATCCACTACCTTTCGTCAGTGAGAGACTTGCAGACACTAGAGACACTAGAGACTTGCAGAAGAGTATCCAGTTGCTTGAATAACTTTTTTTGGCGTATCTTATTACCTGGATGTCCTTCACCGACGGTGTTCCTTCACTTCAAATCAGGCTATTTTCTGTCCGCCGCTGTTCGATAGTAGGTGAAGTTGAGTCAGTGATGTTCTAAGAACACCTGTTGTGCCAAATCCTTGAGCTGTCACATACGTGAGATGTCAGGTGTTTAGGGCTAGGGCTAGGGTTGGTATTAGGGTTAGGGTTTATTTATTTATTGAAAATGCAACAAGACATTACACTGACTCTCAAGGCAGCAAAGCTGATGTTAGAGAGTCAACACATAAGGACAAAACATATAGGGCACATAATATCAACAGTGTGAAATTACAAAAAAAAAAGGGTTAGGGTTAGAGTTGGGATCATTGTTCAGGGCTAGAGTTAGACTTACGATTGGGGTTAGGTTACAAATAAGTTAGGTTTAGTCTCCCACATCACGACTAAACCCTTCCCACCTCTTGTCTCAGGTATATCGGAACCCCCCAAGTAGTGTCGGAGTCATGTATTTGGCAGGATCATGTATATGGCTTTACATCGCCTCTAACCGATTCTGATATGTTCTCTCTACAGCCGTGAACGTGCGATTCGTTCGCAGTGAGAAGTGTGCAAGTGCAGTGCCGCCCCCACCCGTGGTGAGGGAGCCTAGCGGCCCTGCACAAGAGTCTGGCACATCGGTGAGGAAGAAAACAAGGCCCAACGATGAGTCGTGCGCAACTTCAGTAAAGAAGAAATCCCGGCGAAGTGACCTGAACGGGCCTACCGACAATGCGAACCCGCCGAAGATCAAGGCTGCAGAGCCCGACAAACCCAGCCCCTCTGTACGGGCTCCCGGTACAGCCAAGGGCAAACCGAAGGCGACATTCGGCGGAATGAAGGCCGGGTTCTTGCTACAGTCTCCAAAGAAGAAGCCTCAGCCCAAGAAAGAGTCAGCAGCAAAGGCAGACAGCTCCAAGGCCGTGAAGGCTCCGCCTGAACAAAGTCTGAAGAACACAGCATCTGCGGGTCAGAAGGATCCCGCCGCCGAGGCCGGTCACCCGAAAGTGAGCCCCTCTCAGAAGAAGGAAGATCCCCAAACCCCCTTGGCCAGTGCCGGAGAGAATTCGGGCCAGAAGCAGGCTCAGTCTCCGCGCCCCACTACTGAGTCCGGACAGACTCCCCACCAGTCATCCTCGTCAGAGGTGAAGCATGCTTTTTCTATTACTCATGAAACTCGATAATCCTCGTACTATAAACTCCATCTGTTACATCTACAATTGAACCGAGAAGAAGCAGAACCTGTACATATGTAGTTTTACTATAGATATATTTTAGTCTACCATCGCTATTTACCATGACCTGTACTTAGTTCGCAATGAGCAAAAATGTACAATAAAGGTCTTTCATTCATTCTATTAGCTATGTTTGTGCAATGCGGCTTCGCTACGACTCGCGCATATGTAGGGGGTGATGATAGTCCTTCTCTACAAAGTCAAACGTATATTGCTTGCATTAACATAACAAAGTGATAGCTTGTTGTGTAATATAACATCTGTGTCCATAATATCACCAGGGTCCATAATATCACACCTTGAGAAATAGTGTGCTTTAAGATATTTTTTACTGCAACATACCCAAGGTACGAGGGGTGATCAAAAAGTTCTCGGCCTCTCCTAGAAAACGTCATGGCAGTAAAATTTTTCTTACGCTTTTTTTTATATAGTCCTCTCTAACTGCAATGCACTTGGTCCAGTGATGTTCCAGCTTTAATTTCCCCTTGTGGAAGAAGGTTGCATCTGGACCCCCCAGATTGGCCCATACCGCATAGATGACGTCATCATTGCCATCAAAATGTTGACCACGTAAGTGGAACTTGAGTTTAGGAAACAGGTAGAAGGCCCACGGTGCTAGGTCAGGTGAA